CATTTTAAGTGTGGCTCGGCTGCTCGTTAGGCGTTTGTGTGACTTAATTATTGTAATATTGTACTGTACAGAGCATACATAACTATGAGTAGAAGAATACATACATGTGCATGGGTGTGTGTATCAGGATTGTTGCAAATATTCGCATTCGCAACCGCGGAGCTTCCGCATTAGTTGTAACATTCGCTTTCGCTTCCGCATTCGCTATAATCAATGCGGAGGTTTGGCGAATGCGAATGTTGTGCCAGTGTCCTGAAAACGTATATCTGGCAAATAAAATTATAAATTGTAGCCAATATTTTTTGGCGCATATAGGAGTAGATATTTGTGTAGAAAAAACTGATCAAAAGTCAGATTTATCATCTTTGATAAAAGCGTCTTTAAACATTTTAACTTTCAAGCTATATGACCGAGCTATCTATGGGCAGGTTCGCACTCCTACTTCATCATTGACGTACGCCCAAGAGAACAAAGTACATTCTAATATTTTTTATTTTATTTTTTCTGTGCTTTAAATACCTGCATTTGTTTCTTTCTTTACTATGATTTATCCAATCTTAAAAAGACATGAAAACAGAAAGTCTCCACTATAATTTTAAACTACATTTTCGTGATTTTCTCCTGATGCTATATTCGTTTCAATCATTTCAAATGGAGCTTTTTGGGAAATTTATTTTTACCAAAAATTAAAAAAAAAACAGTAATTTTGTTTACTTGTCGGGCCTTTTCGGCCAATATTTTTTCATAGGGATATACATTGTATCCTTGACTGTTCCGTGTTTTCTTTTACTACTTCGCAGAAAAACACACCTAAAATTTTTTAACGGATTTACTATGATGCTACATTCTTCAAGTGAACAGGAAAGTTAGGGGGCTACATCCGACATTTTCAGCCCCGATGCAATTCCCCAAAAAGGAATTATTCTTACACCGTAATAAAAAAAAACAATTTAACTGGGAGCTCTCTCAACTGGTGCAGCGTCAATCGAAAATAATTTAAAATATTTTCAAGTTTCACACGCAGATATTTGTCGCCTCGAGCGAGCAGTTTAAAAAACAGGCTGAAAAGGCAGCAGAATCATTTTTTTTTTAAATATAATGTTCCAATTTTTAAACTCAAGTACTAAATAAAATAAAAATTATTAAAATTACTAACTTTTCATTTCTTTATTTAACTAAATCACAATTTACTTGCCTTAGTTAAGTATTTTATAAAAATACTTGCCATCCGCATTCGTATCTGCGGATGTCTAAAATTCCACATTCGCAACATCCCTAGTGTGTATACAAACATGCATAAGAGTATGCATGGGCTACAACTGCGTGCCTAACGACTTACTACTTCCGGCTGGGATAACCTTTATGAAACAAAAGCTTAGTAGCTGGATACTAAATAAAAACCTGCTTTTAAGATACTCAACCCTTGTGAATGAAATCAGAGTGAGTATTTCCCTCCTCCCTTTTTGAATAATTTTGCTACTACTTTGGGATATACATACCTGTACAACCCAGTATTTGTAGAACTCTTGCCCATTGGCTTTAGCGGCCGAAGTAAAATATGTACTTGAGAATCAGGAAGAAGTAGGAATACTCTAAACAAACTGGAAATGTAGACACGACTGGGTGGGTGCCAGAACATGAAGATAGTATACTGAATAAACTCTTTTTACCAAGCGGTTATATCGCTGGCATTGTGAAAACTTTGGTTTAGAACAAATTTCCTCGGGGGCGCAAAGAAATGAGCCTGCGCAAAGCTTACCGAGACTTGTGTTTACAGGACTACACTTAACCCCTATATAATCTTAAAAACACCTGAAAACACATAAATATGTATGTATGTATCTACATATGTAGGTTATATATAAATTTGAAATTAATTTCAAGTAGACTTTCGGCGTAGAGCATAGGCTTACTCTCGACCTTTTAAATATTTTTACCAAAGATCTTTATATTTAATTTGATATTCTGGCACTTTAAACAAAACACTGTCTGCTGCGTTTAGAGAAACACTGCCAATTTTGAAACGAATGCTATTGGCTTAAAACACTTAACATAATCCAAACAAACAAAACAATAAAAAATAGTCATAATTCATAAAAATAGAGAAAGTGCGCATGAGTGTAGACATATGTTCAGTGCCGGAAAGGAAATCATATTCCATAAATTCCTTAATACAAATGTCAAGCGACAGACTGCTCTCTAGCCATATTCGCTGCCCATTCGTAAGTGTGTTGGTGTGTGTGTGTGCGCTTTCTACTATGGCAATTGCAGTCGTAGCCAATTTAGTGCATATTTGCTTTGCTGCCTTTATTCAAGCAGCAGGATCGATTGCTAAGCAGCAGGCAATTGTCAACCGAGACCAAACAGCCACAGCCATTTTTGCCATTCATGGTTATTCATAAATACATAAGCACATAAATGCAATACTAAAAGCCAAGTGCCGCCAAAAGCTATGCCAAGTGATAAAAATGAAATCAAATGAATTGCGAATTCAAGAGAAAGAAAATGGCTTGCGTTAGTACTGGTGTGTGTGTTGCAAGAGAAAACTAACCTTAACAACTTGAACAATTGAAACTGCGACAAGTTTTGTTGTGTTCTTTTTTTGTTTTTTGGTTTTCTTCAGTTTTTGGCATTGTGTGACTGGTTGCAGCG